CTAATTACAGATGTGTAAGTGTGACAGATATAAATAAATATTCGCTGTGCAAATGCAAAAAAGAATAAATATATATGTATAAATATATACATATATAATATAATATAATTGGAAGTTTCAAGTCTGTGAAGTAAGATCCAGTCTAAATAAAGTCCTCAATACAAACTCTTATTGTTGGATTCATATATCAAAGAGACCCGACAAAGAATCAAAATATGAGAAATGTTTCACGTGACAGCCTGCAATTTTCTTTCGGCGACCTTATTTCCTTCAATAACTATTCGAGTTTCCCTTCGTGTCTCTGGCCCATCACGAAAAAGACAACGTTGCCGTTGTTCTCTGACAAAGCGAAATCTCAACGGGTGTCTTGGTTGTAGCTACTGTATAATATATATCTCTCCAGCCTTTCTGCGAAAGTACATCAAAGAATAACAAAAGAAGTGACAACACTTCTCATTTTGGCCTAACACAAAATGAAACATCATATTTAAACAATAGCAACACAAAAATAAATATTTCGCTAATTATCGCTATACGTTCTCGTCAGATGAGTAAATAAGATAAAAATAACTTTCATATATCTAACAAGTCAATTTCCTTGTGATGACAGATCTAAAGGAAAATAAACATAGCAAATCTCAAGAAAGAAACGAAAGATTCTAAAGACATCTTCTTAAATTATTTACGTCACATATGAAGAAACATACAAGTTTTCTAGAAAAAGGAAACAGTCGTAAGTCTAGAAAACTAGTAAAATTTCTCCATGGATGTACCAAGAATGCAGGCCGAAACGATACGGCAGGAAACGCAGGAATCGTACGATGTAGCTGCAGTCAAATTTAATGGCGCTATTTCTCGTACGACGGCGCATCCTTTCAGCGTTGCACAAGCGAATAATCGTAGTTTCAAATGAAAAGCAATGTAGCTTGACCAGTTCGTAAGAATTACAAATGTGCGTTTCTATAGTCATAAAGTTGAATTTAAGAGACAAAAAGCGTATCACTATACTTTAAATTTACTGTCTTCAAGATTCGTCATTTACTTCCATGTGAGTATTACCTAGTTTCGCCGCGATAAGATATCACAAATACGATGAAACGTGTTTGGCAAACTTCAACACGCATTATTACTCGTTTGAACTAAATAGTGTGTACGTGATTCATAAAGATTGTAATCATTGAGCTACATATATGACCTACATTATCGTACATGTGTGTATCTCAACGTCTAAAATAAACGATTTTTCATGCACAAACTTGCTTATTCCTTTATAATTACTAAATAATTTCGTTTATTGTAAATATTTTTTTCTAACAAAAACAGAAAATATTTTCTTCTTAAAAGAGATTCAAACCAAATAAAATACGTGAAAGAAATCCTAATGGTTTCTTTCATAAACATATAATTCGAAATATAATTATTACGATCTTTGAATAAACTTACACATTTTTTAAGTACGGGTAAAATAAGATTAAAAAACTTGTATGAATTGTAGTAGCAGTAAATATTAATTTTACACAAGATAATACTCTCAAGGAAGACATAATATCATACCTGCATTCTTTCGGGCTGGACGATGTGTGAAGCCCATAGTTACAGGAACTTCCTCATAGTCGACAAAGTTGCTAGACTCACCTGGAATAAAAATCGTAAATTAAATGTTTTTTTAGAAATGTATCTAACAATTAAATATTGCAATTTCGAAAATTGTCAAATATTTTTACATAATATAGTTGTCTCTTTTTAAAGAATAAAATAAAATAAATTATTTAATATTGTAAACAAAATTGTTATTATTATTATAATATAATTTTTAAAAATATATAAACTTATAAAATTAAATATTATAAAAAAAGAATTAATAATTTAGTTGGTTACACAGCTCAGTAAAATATGTCCGAAATAATGACTATGTAAATTTACACAATAATCGAGATTTTCCTGCAAATTATTAAATATTATTTAATAACTGCAATTTTGTGCTCTTCAAAGAACCAGTTAAAAATTTCTTTTTTTATGTTTATATTCCTTTTTCATGATGTGCTAATAAAAATAACAAATGTTTTACAGAATAATATTTAATTCATTTTATTCTGTTCATTTGTTATAAAATAGCAGAGATTAATCTCACACAGCAATTTTTTTCCTGATTGTTCTCTAATACACGATAATGGTTCTTTTCAAACGACTAAATAGTAAATGATCATCGTTACATAAATGAGCTTACATCAAAAAAAGAAATTGAAGAAATAAACAGAAACTTCTATCTTTCAAGTCTCAAAAGTAACTATGAAACAAGAACAAAGGAACAATGACGATACAACTGCAGGCTGTATTGACTTGATATCACATGGTCCGCATCCCTGACCTACTTTTGCATTCTCTGAGGTTACGTAGGTAACCCCCCATTGAACGATGACGTCACAAAGAAACAATGCTATGTCTGGGTAAGTAATCAACTTTTCTTTTCTTAACTTATTTCACGGTAATGAAGAAAGAAAAGAAAGAATAGGTCAGTCAATTTTTTACCAAATTTTTACTCAAAAACTGTTTCTAATTTAATTTTCGTATCTTTATTCCTTCAATAGATGCTTTAATGTTTATATATATATTGTATGACGTAGGTATTTTCATAACACAAAAAAAGCTTTTACGAAGTAATTATAAAGTCAAAGACCGAGAAAGATAAAATATACAAACACTCTAGTATACAATATAAACGTATATACAAGGTGTACCATTTTAATTTTCACATCTCGAGAAATATAAAAGATATGGAAAAATGTTTCAGACAAAAATTATATAACCTGATAGAGCATAAATAATAATAAACCTAATTTAAAAAAAAATCAATTTTTCATAGCCATAAAGATTATAGTCATTTTTTAAAATAGAATTGTATGATTTTTTTTATATAATATGATTCCTCCAACTGCACATAAAAGTATTAAGGTAGAGATATCAATAATTTGGAAAATTAATAATTTGGAAGATATTTTATACATTCTTGCATTTTAATATAAAATATAAAATATCTCATATAAACTATTCATTTTTCGATAAACTAAAATGATTATTGAATCAATACTTTTATGCACAGATTAATAAAATAAATCATACATATAGATACTTTTCAAAATAAATAAATTATGTAATCTGTAATACGCAACTACATCCCTTTTTGTAAAGCAACTATGTGTTTTTATTGCATTAATTGATTCAGCTATTATTCCGTCTACAAAAATATTAAGGATATTAGACGTACAGTCCCTACACATAAAACTAAATTTAAAAGTATATTTAATATTTACAAACTTCAAACAAGCTATATAGAAAAAAACCGGGGACAAAAGTAACATTTTGACTTTGAAATATCATAATAGTCAAAATATAATATTTACATTTAAAAAATATGTAGAATTTATTTAGTTACAAAATTTTCTTTGGTTTAATTTTTTTATATAAGAAATATATAATAGAAAAAAAGTTATGTTTTAAAGAAAAACTATGAGGAATTTTGTTAAAACTGTCCCAACCCCATGGTTTAACGATTACCACAGTAGAGAAGGATAATTGTATCACATTTGCCAGAGATACATAACACAACTACAACTACTACTAAGTCTTAGACTCTTTCTTGCAACTACACGAATGGATAACTGATCCTTTACAATCTCTTTTATATAAATGTCTGCTTGTACAAAAACAACTCTTTTATATAATTTTTCTCTTATATTGTATGTCTTGCGTTTTCTTATTAACAGCATTCTATGAAGAAAAATACAAATAACATTGTACAAAATAATACTAAAATAAAATCAAGTAAGTTCGAGGACAATTGTAATGTTACAACTGATCCCAGGCACGATGTATCTATTCGATCGACATCGATGTTACTATTGACTCCTAATGATATTTTATAATTTATAGTAAATGTTTTACATAAAAACCTAGATAAAAATCAACAATCATCAAGATAATATTATACATTATATCTTTGTTGTAAAGAAAAAAAAAGTATTTTAGATTTTGTCTACGCAATAAAACTTACTTGTGATGCATGAAAAAAGTAATTTATGCTCCTACACTCGTGCATGTTTCGCGAAAACCAGAATGTAACAAACGATGCAATGCCGATCTGTCTACAAAATTTTACCATGCATCCGCATACATATGTCTATTATAGTTTAAGAAATATTAATAATGTTACTATTGTCTTCGGTCTACGTATTAAAGTTATATGAATAAAATTATATTTTGTTTAATAATATATTTTTGTAGTTCATTTATTTTATTTGTTATTATTTTTATTGTTAAAAATTAAAATTTTTTTAATAATAAAAAATTTTTCTTTTATAAGTATTTTAAATATTCAAAATAATTTATGCAAAGTTTCATTGTGATTCATTGATTAATTACAAAGATATAGAACAAATAAATATTTTGTTTATTTACTGGACAACTATTTTGTATATCGCAACGCAACTGTATGTAAATAAGCTTGAATGTATAATGTACTTATATTAAAAAATTGAGATTTTTATCATTTAGTTTATAATACATTTCCATATATTTTTATTAGAATACAGATTTAAAAAATACTACTATTTATCAAAATAATTTATGATCCAAATAAATCGTCATCAAATTTGATTTATTATTTTTAAACATGATTTATAATAATCTGTAAATTTTCATAATTTTGTTATCGTTTTGGAAATATGTATAAAATGTCCTTAAGAACACGTTTATCCAAAAATGATTAATTTACGAGACATATTATATTTTTTTATATCAAAATGTGCAAAAATAAAGTATAAAATATCTCTTACACTTTTGATTTTTCAATATTTCTATAATCCTAATATTTTTCGTAATAAGTTTATTACAGTTTTTTAAGATTAAATTTGGGAAATTTGGGGGATCATTAATATTTCAGATTAATTGCGTTAAAAGTCCGGCAACCATATCGGCACACAATTATAATTTCTAAAATTAATTCATTTAAATGAATATATATAATATAATAATTCAACATCTTAACATTCAGACTGTAGTGGCGCTCCGTATTTAAAGTAATATATCTACAATAATATTTTTAGTTATTATAAAAATTATTAATCTAATATTTTTAATTATTAAAATTGTTCAATCTGATATTTTTTATTTTCACGCAGAAATTAAAATAGAACATCTTGCGTATGTATGTATACTATGTGTGCGCGCGCGCGCGCGCGTGTGTGTGTGTGAGTGTGTGTGTGTGTGTGTAAAATATAGTAAAAATCACCTAAAGCAATCTTTGAGCATACAAAATGTTTAATATAATTTTATGTCCATACAATATCAAAGGAGATAATTACACTTGTGAACATTTCAAAAATTTTAATATTATATAAAATTTGATGTATTCCAGTCTTGACATATTCAATATTTATATAGGTAAAATGCAGATTCATAAATCTTCATGCGCACATCTAGAGATCATCTGCACTTTTTGTAACAAACTAATTAATTTCGAAATTCCATAATTTTATGTGTATGATAAGAGACTGAATTAGTTTTGAATCTTTACTTATTTATTATTGTTAAACATGTAAAGCTGTTTTGCATTATTCACTAATTATCTCTGGATTACCTTGTTTTAACTGACAAATTTTTGACGACTTCAAACTTTTTTATGCAACTCATCGATTTCAAATCTGAATAAATATAAGTCACGAAAAATGATATAAGTTGTGTCACAAAAGATCGAGTACAAAAAAAGTTTCAAAAAATTTTTCACATTTTTGCAGTTTTGAAAATGCATTTAAACTAATTCTGCTAAACTAATTCTACTAAAATATCTAGATAACACATTCTCAACGCAAAGAGATTCTTTGCGCATTGAAAACCACTTAAAAAAAAAGAAATAAAAAGTATGAAAAGTGTTTTGCAAATAAATTAAAAGTTAAATATTTTAGTTAATCTTTTTTATTTGCTCAAAATTTTGTATTCCTTTTTTATATTTATTACTAAGAAATATAAAATTATATGCAATTTTTTAGTTTCATTTGCAAAACAGATTTGGCTGAAAACAGAAAAAATACGTGAAGTATATCTCTCTCTCTGTGTGTGTGTGTGTGTGTGTGTGCGCGCGCGCGCGCGCGCGCGCGCGTATGTACGTGTGTGTATATATATGCATACATCTATCTGATTGAAAACTCTACTCCTATGTCCTACTCTATATGCCAATAAAAAGAGAAGCGAATAAAAAAATGTGATATTTGAAGCAAAGGTGTGATATTAAAAAATAATAAAAAAATATATTATCCACGCAAAAAAAAAATTAAGCAAATAAAAAATTATACATACAATTTTATCAATTGCCATTTACAGTATATAATTCAAAATTATGACCAAGATTGTATTTCGATCAAAAATTTGCAAAAAATTCAAAAGTTTAATCATTTACATTTTACATCTCATTAATATAATAATAAATAAAAAAAACCAGGAATAAAATTTTAAGTAAATAAAAAAGATAAATTAAGTGAAAGATAAATAAATATAAGTGACAAAATATCATACTTTATTCAAATAAAAAAAGATATAATAGAAAAACATATATGTTTCTTACACAAAATATATGTATATTCAAAGAATTTATTGCACAAATTACTCGCCACAAGGGATATTTATATGCAACAATCTCAAAATAAGCAGGATCAAACCAAAGGCTCTTTATAAGCCGATTACGACCGCATGAGCTGTGCAATCCATGATGATGAGATTCCATCAAAAGCGATCTGCTGTCATCAAATAAATCGTTCTAAATCACCGTACTTAATCGCTATTATTTCATAGCCGTTACTTCATGGACGATTCTCTTTTTAGTATATTTCAAAAAATACTACGATATCATTATTTAAAAAAAAAAAAGATACAATTTGTTAAAAGAATCAAACAATTTAGTTGATTGAGCATAAAGATTGCATTTTTTCTTATAAAAAAATAACGAACTCTTCCGCTATAAGATTAGATAGACAGCAAATTTGTGTTAAATTCGCTTGTGTCAATTATTATTTTCACTCTATAGTTTTGACGTGACGCGCATTATAATGCACATAATTGTTACAAGCGTGTATGTAAAAAAATCACATTTTATTTTCTTAATAAAAAGTTTGCTCGAGCTTATATATGAAGAATAAGTACGTGGAGTACAGGACGCAAAGTTTAAAGGCGCCGTTTTGCTGTGCGAAAATATATTTACGTTTGGTACCAAAAAGATAGGAGATGGCATAAAACGCGATAAAAGGTGAGATGGAGAATAAGGGACGGGAAGAGCGGAACCATAGCGAAAGAAAGGCAAAGAGGAGGAAAAAGAAGCCGGCTTGATGCAGCAGGCCACGAAAAAGCGTCCGTCGTTCGCCCGAGCGAGATCCGCTTTGAGGAAAAGGAAAATAAAGCAAAATCGTAGCGTGTACTAACGGCCACCGTTCTTCTACCATTTTCCGGTTCTATCCGTGCCATTCTTCCAGCGCCCGTAAGTGGCCAGCTGACTGCCTACGTTACTTCATTACAGAGGAGGAGAGGAAAGCACCTTACGCGAAATAGCAATACTAATTAAATTGTTCTTATTTGTGCCCGCAACCTTAACATCTATCAGATTCAACACTTTGGATCAAATAGTCGCCCAAAGGAAACTCTTTGCGTATCTTCTAATAGGTAATACTTTCAACGATGGTACACAGAAAAAAAGAATATTTTTAAATCAATCACGATATACTCATATATAAGCAAAAATATTGTAATCTTGCTTTAAAGATTTTAGTCTTGATTTGATTGAATTTGTATTGATGTATAAAAATTTTTAATTAAGAAAGTCTTGAATTTTGAGTGCAAAATAATACTTGTATCAAAATAAATTCAATCAAGACTAATATCTTTGAAACAAAATTACAATATTTTTTCTTATATATATGAGTATATTATTGATTTAAGAATAATCTTTTTTCTGTGTAGAGATCTCGAAGATTATTTTAAACCATTTTTTTTATCCTAATTTTTCTGCTAAGGACATTGTTGAATCGCGCCTTGCGTCATTATCTTACACTAAACAGAATCAAACGATCAAAGATCTATCGTGTTGCAAAAAAGAGAAGGAAGAATTTTTATCGTGATAAATAAAACGAAAGGGAGAGTGAGAGCGCTCGATTCGTTCTCGAACTACTAACCGCGAAACTAAAAGAAAAACGACTACGAGAGTATCTGAGAGAAAATAGACCAAGATTTATCGCGCTACAGCGAACTTTTTCCCCCTTTTCTCAATCGGGTGAATCGATCGGCAACGCCCGTCCGTTATTGGGGAGTATAATGCGATTTTACGACAGCGGGAATAAAAGGCCTTGAAAACGTCGTGAAGCAAGATCGTCTCCGGAGATCTTTCTTGTCGTTGGCGGTCGAAATTATTACAAAATCTACGTTTCCGCACGATCAATTCGGAAAAAAACTTCTGCGAGGCGAATGTGCACCAATGAATCTCGCTGGGAAAAGTCATAATTTTGAAAAGCGAAGAA